AAAAACACGATTCGTATGCCAAAATATTGTGAAAAACTATTTCAATCCTTTGATTCCTCTGTAACCAAATAAAAAAGTGAGGTTATGTTTAAATAATTCACAGAAGAATGAGGTTGTGTTTCAATATTTTGCCTCCAGAGTCGGTCATTGTGCACGCGACCTATACGGGTCACTTTTGAGATTCATCTTCCAGTATTGTTCCAAGGTTAGTTTTTTTTTCGATGTGGTCGACATTAGAATTCTTGTCTTGATAACAACTCCTTTTCTTGTCTTGTCTTGAGAAAAGGTCAAGAAATTCCGAAAAATCTTGTCTTGACATATCATTTCTTGTCTTGACTCAATAAATATCATGATCTTGACCAGTGACACCGTTTATATGGTGTGAATCCCCGGCAAACTTTTTATTGCGTTGCGTGCCATGGTTGACATCTAGATTTTTATTTCATCAGTAGATATATACCTTGTCAGAAATTCAGTAGATCTCAGCAGATTTATTTTATGCTAAACAAATTCCAGGATTTCAGGATAATGAACTTAACTCACACAAGTCTCTGACTTTCGAGGGTTGCTTTGCAACTAAGCTGGCGGTTAAAAACACTTTTTTAAACACTTTTTTACCTATGACGTCAAAAAATATGTATTTTTCTGTGACGGAAAAAAAGTTTCACATTTTATCTTGGATTTCCATCAAGTAACGGCCGAGTCAATTCAACATAAAATTACTTTTTTCCTGTGCATCAGAATTCATAATCAGTGAGGCCAGAAAATCAGAAAATGTATTTCATGTGTGCCCAAATATCACCTAAGATATTATGAGTCTTTATGATTACCCAATAGGTGATTATAATAAATTCAGTAGATCAATTATGCAAATCAGTAGATCTCCTGAAAACTTGCAACCCTGTCGCGTGCTAACACGGCAATCTGGTGGTTCTCTGATCTTTATTTTTGTTTTCTGACAAGAGCAAACGACGTCGCGCACTTGCAATGATGCCAGTTTGTGAAGTGGTGGTGAAAAATACATTTTTTCTGTGACGGGAAAAAAGTTTGGCATTTCATCCCTGTTGGCAGGTTATAAAATGTCACTTTTCATAAATTACTTTTTTCCCGTGGGAAAAAAGTGAGTACTTTTTTCCCGTGGGAAAAAAGTGAGTACTTTTTTCCCGGATATATATCACATATATATACACTGTTGATGGCTTTTGTTGTGCTATAGTTCCGAGAGATGAGTCAATAATACCGTCCCCCAGAAAGAACTGCCAGTCCTTTTATCTTCCATTCGACTTCGCGGTTACGTATATTGCTAAATAACCACTGAATTCGCAATTTCTTGAAATAAAATCACAAAATTAGACTGACAGAAGTGACATCAGATATTTGATTACTTCAAATGAATGATAAAGATGCCTACAACTCGGTGTCCCTACTGTTAAAAACTTAAAATTTCACGTCGATAATTTTCAGATTTCAAAATAATGTAATATCTTCTCAATATTGATTTGTCCTTTCTTTTGTCACAGAAAAAAATAGTGTATTATACACGGGAAAAATATTAGATTTTAGCTCACGGTTTGTTGTCTCCCTCCGCTACGCGTCGGGAGACAACACAACCTGGAGCTAAAATCTACTACTTTTTTCCCTTGTATAATAAATAACTATATATTGATATTGACTCTTATTTCATCCTAAGTGATAAACGCACGTTTTAGCGTTTTCATTCCAGAGGACGTCTTAGGGACGTTCTAGAGGAGGTCCTATGGACGTTCCAGAGAACGTTTCGGAGGGTGTCCTATGAATGACCTCGGTAGAAAAACAAAAGTTGATAGAAATTGTCCTTGAAATCCTTCAAAATATTCGGATTATACATTGATATCTTGTTGCATGATTACAAAGACTGTCAGTTCGACAGTTTAACAATTCAAACTGATACCATTTGAAATGGTGCAGGAAGTGTGATATGTATAACCTTGAAAATTGTCAAGTTCGGATAATTGTATTCGATATGATTATTTTCTGAGTAGTTCTGAACGTACATCAAAATTTGACGACGCACTTTGTTTGTATTCAGCAATATGAATTGGTTATTATGGAAATGGAAATAATTCAAAATTTCTGAGTGGTTGAGCAACTATGGGTGACACAGGATATCGGCAGACTTCCGGTATTTGTGGAAATGCCAGCAACTTTGTTTTTTCAAATGAAACACCCTGTATATTTTTACATATTCAAGTTCAACAGGTCGAAACAAGGGCAATCTTTATTTCAAATGTCATTTTTTCGAAAAAAAATGAATTAAAATTGTTTTTTTATTTTACCTCGTGGATAAATGGGATGTGGTCAAGACTATTCACAATGAGTCACACATAACAGAAGAACATATTTTCTTCTGAAAAATTATTTTTTGTGTCACTTATCCAGGAATCAATTCAGCCACATCACTTTTTGATCAACAATTTTTTTTTTTCAAATGGAACGCCTATGGGCCACCTACCCGTCTCTCTAGAACATACATTAAGGAACAAAATGACATATCATTTTTGTTTTTCGGTGCAGTAACAAATTGTATACATTCAAAAATCAACAACTAGTTTATGAATTTCCTTGCAGTAAGAATAATTTTTCAACTAGGTAGGCTGTGGAATAAATGACATTTGACATCAAGATTGCACTTGTTTCGACCTGTTGAATATGTAAAAATATACAGGGTGTTCCATTTGAAAAAAAAAATTGCTGGCATTTCCAAAAAAACCGGAAGTCCGACAAATTGGATTGTAATGTGATCAAATCCGAAATAGTTGCTTATATAACTGTACCGAATTTCAGAAAAATCCGTTGACGAATGCAGAAGTTACAGGGGTGGCTCGATAACCTGTGTCACCCGGTATGTATATCCACGTATATTCGAAATTATACAAGGCTGCTCAACTCAAATGAATGTTCTGCTTGGTTTAAAATTATTGGAAGTAGATAATCGCATAACGAATGACTGAATATATCTCCTTCCCCTGCAAACGACCCAAAAGTCGTCCATTTTAATACCAAAATTAGCTCTTGAATTGACCTTTCTATCACTGACACAAACATAGGAATGTTGCTAGGCAACACTTTTAATTCCTAGGAGCTAAAACTGAACTCAAGCTCCTAGGAACAAAATAGTAGATAGACTCGCAAATTCTGCTTTCGCTCGGCTTCGCTAAACGCTCCGCCTCGCAAATGCAAAATTCGCTTGTCAAACAAAGTGTCACTTTTGATCCGAATGAAACATGCTATTTTTTCTGCAACAGAAACAATTTACTCAAATAAATATGTGAAGTAACCACCGATGCCGTGCCATAATATGTATATGCAATGCAACAAATATTGACAAATAATCCGTGTGGTGAGAATATTCTACCTGCATTAACAGCAGGTTTATTCAATTTTCAAGGATGTTCGAATTGTGGTTCCAATATAAATACAACCACAGAGTGACATATTTGTGTATGGACCAGGTGCTCTAATGGCAAATACCGCGCCAGTGCAAGCTATAGAAACAAGAAGTGGAAAATGTTAGGTTAGTGAGCATATCAACAATAATAATAGCGATTATTTATTCCTCCAAAAATACTCAACTGGGATGTGTATAATTCCAATACTCAACTATAATAAGGTGTATTTATATCTACAGCATCGGTATGAAATGCCAAATCTGCCGAAATCGGAAACAAATCAGGTATGCGTCTCAACCCAAATAACCAACCATCACAATGTTGTTTATTCTTGATGACATCCATTATATCGTTTTTAGTTCCTAGGAGCTGAAATTCAACTTCAACTCCTAGGAACTAAAGTTCAACTTTAGCTCCTAGGAACTAAATATGTTGCCTAGCAACAAACCTATTTTTGTGTCAGTAATAGAAACGTCAATTTGAGAGCTAATTTTGGTATCAACATGGACGACTTTTCTGTCGGTTGCAGAAAAAATGATGTACTATAGAGGTCAACAAGAATAAACATTGTTATAACGGTTGGTTGTTTGGTTTGGGACGCATACCAGATTTGTTTCCGATTTCGCAGGATTTGGCAATCCAAACCCGTGCTGGAGATATGAATACATCATATATTATAGCTTAGTATTTTTGGTTTGATCAGGAAAGCCTTCAAGGTCCACATACTTGCTTGATCTGTATTTTATTCGTTATTCTCGGTATGGATAACTTGTTTTTATAATCACGGCCAGCAATACTTTTTTGCCTTACACACGAAATTGTTTATCCTCATTTGATTACCGAGCCAAAAACACTGGTGTAAGGGGAGAAATGAATTATCGCAATTATTATTGTTGATATGCTCACTAACCTAACATTTTTCACGTCTTTTTCCTATACCTGGCACTGGCGCGGTATTTGCATGCTATTAGGGCAGAGACCTGGTCCATACAAAAATGGATCACTCTGTAATTGTACTTATATTGAAACTTCGATTCGAACATCCTTGAAAGTTGAATAAACCTGATCTCTTAATGCAGGTAGAATATTCTTACCACAACGGATTATTTGTTGCATTGCATGCATAATATGGTACGGCATTGGTGGTAACTTCACATATTTATCTTAGTTAATTCTTTCAGTAGCAGAAATATTAGCATGTTTCTTTCGGATCAAAAGTGACTTTGTTTGACTCGCTTGACAAACAAAGTGTCACTTTTGATCCTAATAAAACGATATACTCAATATTCTTCCCAATATATATTTGCTGGGATTTGACTACCCTGTAAGTTTGTTGCTTACTTCTCTCCTAATATTTGACGTCAACTATACGACTTTTCCAGCGCCATCTTGCATTCCGTGATTCTGGGGTATCACATCAATTTTCATTGGATTGCAGCGAAACAAAAGAAAATAAAATCCACAGGAGACATGTCGCTATGCGAAGAAGTTTAGCGGAGATAAAAACCCGTTAAGTTCTCTGGTGTTCATTCCCTTTGGCTGAGTATTATTGGCAGTGTTTTAAATTTGAACCTAATCCAACTTAAAATGCCATTTCATAGATCCGGCTCCTCTTCCCGGAAAACTCTGAGTGCCACACTCGCCGGATTTCACCTAAAAGAATTTTAAATTCTTAAGTAGAGACGTTCCGGCTGTCTCTCTCGATCGCCTTCGGATCAGATGCTTCCGTCCTTTGCCGAAAAACAACAGATTTTTTAATTCCCACAGCCTTCTTCGGGCTACATATATATTTTCCTTGCTTTTACCCATTCTCTTCTTTCGCTTAAGATGCGGGGATCCGTTAGAATGAGGAGGACTTTTCACCCCGCATTTTTTCGCCATGAATCATTAATAATTGCTCTTTCTCGCTCATCGGGATTATCCACTGAATGTTAGCTTAACGAAAAAATGTCATGCTCATGGAAATTGATACCTAATTATAATTTGATGGTATGAATTCATCTTCCTTAACTCATTATTATTATTAGGAGATGAAGTGCACTTTGCCGCCTGGTTTTGCAGTTGTAAAGTGACACTTAATCATGGTTTGGGGGCTCTAAAGCGCTTTTCATCTGATAAATTCATCATATGTCTTTTCAAATAGTTTCTTCGATGTTGCTGGCAATTCGAGCTTGTTCGATTTTAACCAGAGGATGGCACTTTAGCTTTTCGGTTCACGTTACTCGTTACATTTTTTTTAAATATTCAGTTGCAACTGTCTAAATAGACATGGTTCTCATTCATGATATCATCATTAGTTTGAGCACTCTCAAACAAAAATTACAAAGATTGGGATTGTTGAGAAGGAAGAATTTCACGGACATTCTAGAAATTCAATAATTCAATGCAAATAATGCAAAAACTCATGGTCAATTACATGGATACCGATGGATGCACCTAGAATGGTTCGTCTTCTGCTCCAAATTATTGATCCCGTAGGTTTAGATTTAAGAACTAGAAGACGGCTGAGAAGAAGGCAATACAAGAATAAAGTTCCAAACTTTTCATGGCACATGGATTGTTACTCAACTTAAACCATGTGGAATATGCACCAGTGGATGCATCGACGGATTTTCCAGAAAAATAATCTGACCAATCCGAGTGCAAAACTTGGAAAACTGAATGAATATGAAAACACGAACACAAACTATTCTACAATTATACAACGTACAGTCATCTTCAGAAAACATGTCACACATGGAATATGGTAAAATTCTTAATGAATCCTGCAATAAGATCGCTGACACCGTCTAACCGCGTCTGAAGACGACCGTACATAGATGCTTCTATCACCCGTAATTCCAATAAAAGGGTTATCTAATTAGTCAGTCGCAAGTGTCTATTTTGACAGATACAACTGTATATTTAGACAGTTGCAACTGTCTATTTAGACAGTTGCAACTGTCTATTTTGAAAAAACGTAACGTGGCCCGTCTACGCTTTCGTAACCATCAGCTTGTTTGATAACGTCAAAATTAGGTATTGGTATATATCTCCTGGGTATACATATTGTATCATTTTGAGAAGTGAACATCGTTAAGTGATGAACAAAGATTTGGATCACAACAATTGAATATTCGTACGATACTTTTTCTAGTAAATTATCCATGAACATCTTCTTCACTAGTCTTGATTACTGAATTTATATACAATTTTGTTCATTGAAATCTGATCATCATTTTCGACTCGGGAAATAAACCACTAGTGCATAAAATTTTGTTCATATCACGTGCCTAAAATGCGTTTATAGCCTCTGGTATGATTATTTACTCCGCAGGGCATAAACGTCAACTTCACGCCCACATAAATAGCTACAAGGTTTTATCGCGTTACTGGATGAAATGACCAGAGTAACTACTTACAATTCCAAAAATATTTTTTTACGAAGGGAAGATCATGAGTAAAAATCTATCAAAAATAATTCTGCCAATCTTGGGTCATTTATTTTTTATTCTTCAACTTGAACAGCCTGTATTTCTAATAGTAACCACTCCCCATATGACTTCTCCTAACGGTAATTCAGGAGCTTCTGTGAGTCTAGTATCAATAGATTCCAGATAGCTCAATTGGCTAGAGCTTTAGATACATCTATGTCTATATCTATGGCGGAACTATTTGTGCACATACGTCTGGCTGTTCGATCGGTAGGAATCTCCTGAAATGTTTAATTCCAATAGTGACCTAAACATACATATTATCGATATTCTTTTCAGAACATTCTATCGATACCTATCTTGACAAATTTTCGGGGGTTGACAAAGTTCCACGATTATGTGCGAATGTCGATAGACCCTTCACATTGCTACTTCCTCAGAATAAGATGATCACGGCAGAGATAACCTCGTTGGACATACTCAGTACATCAGAATCGCGTGTAAGTAAGTGTAATTCGAGGTGTAAGTTCTCAGTACTTCTTGAAAAGGTCTCGGAAGTTCAGACCTGAATCGGACCTAAAATGGACGTCCCCAGAACGTCGAGTGCTATATGGGACACACATAATTATCACACCAAATCACACACCAGGCAATTCCTTGAAATTTTCACTATATTCATATATATTGAAACCATCCCAGTGGGACATCCGAGATTTCCGAGTTGAAGAGAAGACAACATAGAAATAAAACCACATACAACAAAATGGAGTTGCGGTTCGCTATTCGTTTCAATCGTTTCTCGCGTCACGTGTTCGGTCGGTGGGGTCGGTGCATGCGTATTTCGTGTTCGTTCGTGGCGTGTAAGTATACACCGTTGTCAGAGTTCGTCGTTAGTCGCCAAAACAACAAGAAGATGACGTCCGAATTATAATCTTATATGTTTTTGTATCAAAATAAATGCCTGTGATGTGAATAAATATCAGGAATAGTTGAGTCAGAAAAATATTTTTCGATAACAATAAAGAGCAAGAACACGTGACAAAATCAAAATATCGATGATATTCTCATTTTATCCTGTATATATATTTTTTTTTATCGATTGGAGCGCACTAAAGGGAATCCCTATAATGTTCAAAGAACATCGTGCGTTCCTAGGGAGGATAGGGACAGGAGGTAGGTATTGGAATTTTTTTTTTCTATAACTTCTATGTAGCAAACTACAACAGGATGGAAGTCAATGTATTGTATAGTACTATCGGCGTCAAATCGTTCACAATGACAACACTGGTCATAACAGAGACACCGTCAAGAGGAACAGTGCTGCCATCATCACGCCATGACCAAATAGAAAATGAAAGCCATAGGCCATATTTGTATCGCAATTGTCGCGCTATTCAACGCAAATACTTCATTATCAGAATAATTATTATAGATGCCAGGTAGCCGTGCGGACAGAGTGTCAGTATTGTAATCCGCAGGCGCTTGCTGGTCGTTAGTTCAATTCCCGCGACTGCAGACATTTTTCCGAGCATTTTTCTGATGGCCCAAGAAAGCGTTTGGGATCACACGTTGAAAGACTTCTGAGAGTTGCTCGTAAGGGGGCAACCAAATGACGGATAGAACAACTTTTTTTTCATTACGAAGGTATGATATGCGAGATATTTTTCATGGAGAACAATAATGACGTCAATAGTATGTCAAGTAGACGTCACATATAGACGTCGTTTTCCGAGAAGAGTAATCACGTCATTATGACGATTATTTGAATCACGTTGAATTGACGTTATTTATATCGACGTCATTTTAACGACCCATTATGTTCACACCACGCCTCTGACCAATATTGACCTAAAATCGACGTCATAGAGACGTCTCAAAAGACAACTGTGAAACCTGGGTAGCAATATCAATCAGGCGTACTCGACAAACTCAGTCAGCACATCTTTTCATCTCAACTCCTTACCGAGACTCGATCGTCTATACAACGGCAAAGCTTTAGGATTATTCGCCAAAGCAAGTGTTCCCAAGTACTTCTATTCCCCAAACGTTCCAAAAAAATCCGATACCCAACTTCTCTCCCTATCTTCCCTAGGTATACACACGATGTACTTCGAGCATTCTAGGAATTCCTTCTCGTGTGCTCCAAAAGATGAAAAAAAATTAAAAGAAACTCGCATAAGTTGTGATTCATGCAAGAGAGATATCCTATAGAATCACACTCAGTGGCGGCGAAACGGGGAGGCAAAGGGGGGCAGTGTGCCCCCCCCCCTGTCCCCATGCCAAAATTTCGTTCTCAGCGCCCCTTTTTCAACCCAGAAGCACTGACCAAAAACTAATTGAGCTCTTTTCTACCATGAACGAGAGAGACAGGAAAGTTCTCTCCTCTTTCTTCTTTCTCCTCAATGCTACCAACCTGGCCTGGAGATAACTTTCCTCTCTCTCTCTTTCAAGTTCAAAGTTCAAGGTAGAAAAGAGCTCAATTAACGTGGCATCGCAACAATGGCAACACTTGCTGAGTTCTCTTGTGAATCCCTTACCACAGTAGAGTGCCTAGGGGAATTCCATACTGCTGAAGATCACGTGCAAAGCTGCCCTAGAGAACAATTCAAAAGAACTGTCTTTTATGTTTCTTCAGACACATTCATTCAAACAAGGGATGATAGATGATAGGTTCGACGACTTCATGAACATTTCTAAAAAATTTGTTCGTCTAGATAGTGAAAGATCTCGAACTCTGAAGATAACATACGTTGTTCGCAAGATATCTCATTATTTTATGAAGCTAATACAAATCCTAGTGATGTGATTGCTGAATACCAGTCTTTTTGTTACACTACACTGTTTTACCACTAACCAAACCGATTTTTTAACGCCTCGACACGTGTTTCGCTAACTATGTTAGCATCTTCAGGATAAGATTAAAACTAAATCAGTTTTAATCTTCTCCTGAAGATGCTAACATAGTTAGCGAAACACGTGTCGAGGCGTTAAAAAATCGGTTTGGTTAGTGGTAAAACAGTGAAGTGTATTATCGTGCCAAAGGTTCCAGTCTTCGATATAATAAGTCTTTTTGTTTATTATTCAGAGAACTTAAAGATAATCCAATCAACATAATAACTGAAGAAATATTACCATATATATATTCAAATGATCTTGAAAATTCATTTCCAAATTTAGTAGAATTGTATGTACAGAATATTCATCACTATAGGCACAAATAGTGCAACTGCTGAACGCACTTTTATTAGAATGAGGAATATAAAAACTCATGTTAGATCCACAATAGGTGAACAAATGTTGAACGATTTCGCAATATTGAGCATTGAATTGGATAATTCCGAAAACATAGAATTATCAATCATTTGGACGAGTTTAAGAACATTGGAACAAGGCGTTTACTACTGTGAATAATAAATATATTGTAGTCTAGGTTGATAATTATTTCTAGTACAATGACTAAACTATTTTATTCTTCTAATATTTCTTGTATTGTAATTTAGTTTTTTATTGTGACAGCTGTGAGACTACTCTGTTTTTTTAGTGACCTGTGCATTTTTTACTGAATACTCGTCCTGTAGCGAAGGTGTCCCCCGCCCACCCTAAATTTTTAGAACCGCCACTGATCACACTGATATCAGGGTTTCAATACATTCAAATTCAAATTTATTAATTTCTTTTTCCCTATAGTACAATATATTGGACGAGTCGGTACATGTATACAATAAAAAGCATAGAACATAGAACATAGAACTGATATAACAACTGTAACTGTCCAAGAAATGAAAACAGAAACAAATACATTGATATTGGACAGAATAAATTAGTATAAAACATTTCAATTATTGGAGAGAAAAACGTCAAACTCCCCCAGATTATAAAAAAAATTATTTGCTAAGAAGTGTTTCAACCTACTTTCAAAAACTTCGTATGTAGGACTTTTTCAAAGGGACTAGGAAGCCTATTGAAGTAAGAAACCCCAGCGATAAGAGGTGATTTTTTATAGTAATTGTGATTTGCTTTTCTGAGCAAAAAGTCATTTTTATTTCTCGTGTCATGCTTATGTATATCACTATTTTTTGTTAATTTATGTTGGATTCGATAAGTATTGCTCAGTAATTTCAATAGATAAATAGAAGTCACCGTTAGAATTTTCTTGCCTCAAAATATGTTTCGACACGAAGTTTGAAAAGGTAAATCAAATATGAAACGAACTATCCTTTTTTGCAATACGAACAATCTTTGAACTTCACGTCCTTGTCCCCAGACAATGATACTGTACGCAATTGCAGAGTATGCATATGAGTAATACACATTCAACAGAGTATCTTTATCTGACATGGATTTTAGGACTGTCAATAGGTAAAAGCATTCCCAAACAGTCTCTGCGTTAATATACACATTTTTTATTGGACCAATTTTGGATAGTCGATGAATATTAAAACTTGGTCCAAGGATATTCCGGAATGAATTGGACATGATTATCGCCTATCAAGATTTCCTGTGCCGGATATCTGTGAGATAGGTATTCAGTTTTCGCTTATCCGACATTTATTCCGGCCCTCTGTCCTACATGAAATGGACATGAACTGGACATCTTATGTGGTATGGAATATAGTGTAGACTGTCATCAAAAATATGTTTGGGAATTTTCCCATTTGAAGATTATAATACTCGACTTGGAATAAAACGGAAAATTCAATTAACTACATAATAGTCTTTAGCCTTCATACTTATTCATTAGTATAACTTTTTTTTTTTTTTTTCGCTGGTAAATCAAAATATATTCCAAATTGAATAAACATATAAACATAACATAATAAATAAATAATGGTTTTCCACTTCATTCACTCCACAAGTGAGCTGGGGCAGAAAGAACGACTGGGGCAGCGTGCACATACTGGGCTGCACGTACTGGAGCAAGCATGTGCAAGTGGGGCAGAATATACCTTCTGTACTGGGGCAGAGTATACATTCAGTACTGGACCAGAGTATACAATATCTACTGGGTCAGAGTGTGCAGCTGGAGCTAGGTAAACTGGAGATTCATGCTTCTCCACGACTGTGTTGAACATGTCGTGGTTATCAGCGGAATAGTGGACTGTACGAAGGGTGCTATCGGGATCAGCTACGGAGCAGTAGCTCTTCACAGAGTCAACATCACGTTGTTCGAATTTGGGGTGAGCCTCTTGTTGGTAAAAAAGAATATAAGCATCCCCACTTACGAGAGAGTTCGACGAAATTAAAGAAACCAGGGAATCATTGTATTCGTGCCAAATTTTCGTATATAGATGTCTGCAGTAGGCTGTGTAGTGTCCGCTGTAGGTAGTACCGCTGTGGTTTGAGATAGCGTACAGATTGTAAGGATATGGTACGATATCTTCAGCTGCATAGGGGCTCATGTCCAAGCCGATCAAGGGGAAGTCGACAAATGTGTTAAGTTTCTCACTGAACTCTACAGTCTGCGAGAAACGTTTCAGATGTATAACTAAAATTTTTGGGAACTTGTTGATGAATAATGACTTCAAACATTTTCTTTTCTCTCTACACATCGAGCAAGTTGGTTTCTCCTCGCCGTCTAAAATCTCAACACTCGTAAACGAGTCCAAGCAGTGTGACAAGCTGAGTTGGCCTGATCGCTGTGGTATCGGTAAAGACAACTCCCAAAATGGGTCGAATGTCTCCGAACAATATCCACAGAAGGTGCATCTCAAAGTAGACTTCAACTGCCCGACAAAATTATCGACGAACTTAGATTTATTCATTGTCAAGAATCTCGACCACGAATCCATTGCGTCGACATTAAAACTGAATGATTTGTCGATTTCCATAAGTACTGGCTTTGGGTTCGGGTTCGGTTCATCTACGGCCATGTTGACGTCCTCGTGCAGCCCCTCCAGCAGGTAACAAAGAAATTCTTGTGCATCCTGTTGCGAGGAGCCTCTGAATTGAGGTGCGAACCTTTGAATCCGAAGTTTCAGATCGTCCAAACATACGACTCGGATCGAAGGATCGTTCGACCAAAGCTTCTCTATGACGTCTGCAAATGCTTTTATCAGAGTCCCCTTCTTGCTTGATGACCTCTTGTACAGATCATTGAAGTAAGCATTCTTCCTCAAATATTCCAACATCCACTCAGTTTGAGACAGGCATTGAACGACGCTGTTCATGAAACAAGTGTTCCCGATATTTTTCAAACCGATTAGGCCTGAATTCAGAACAGGTGGTGGCAACTGCGATCTTAGGGCAATATTGTCCGGATTACTGAGGGGTCGGAGGTAGCAATCATCGTCTCTGACAATAGTTTGGCGATGGATAGGATTCGGATTTGAGATGACGGGTAAGAAGCTGGACTGAGTTAATTTGAAGCTTTTTTCATTCAGCTGAGTATAGAACTCCGAAGTTTTTTGTGGACGAATAAAAATTTCATCCAATCGCTTAGTGGAAGGAATAGAACCCAATATTGATGATGCATTTCCTCTTTGGATTGCGATACTAATACGCTGAATCAGGAAAGATCGAGCTCTTTTATCGTCAGTTTTATGGATGAGTTTCCTTCCAATGAGATTGAATAATTCAGTAGCATAGGGGCCAAAAGATCCGTAAGTTTCTATGGCAACAGGATAAAAAATATATTGGTCCCTCAAAGTAGAATATTTTTTCAACTTCATTTTTTCAGCTGAATCTGCTGCTCCTCCGGCGATTTTTGATGTCGAATCGATATGTGAAGCAGCAACTGTATCTACGCATGTGAAGTCCCATACTAAAGGTTTTCCGTGACTCCATGGAATGAGAGACATCCCATCCGGGCGTTTTCCGTCATCACGACTGATTCCCAAGGGTTCCAAAACAGCTGGAATATCCGAAGTTGTCAAAGTTCTTCTAATCAGATCATTAACAGTAGAGTGTCTAGGAAAACGACCTGCACTGAATTTACAGCTCAAACCATGAACTCCCTTTTCGTTAACGGTAGATCCACATCTGCATATATGTGTTGTACAAATTGAACAACCTAGACGTAAGCCTACAGATATCCTGAAAGATTCATCATCCAATAATGTTCCAAGGAATGCAACAGGAAGTGCATTAAGCCATGCTCCAGATTCCTTTGTGCTTACTGCCTTGAGACGAGCCTTTTCAAATGGGGAGTTTTTAGCTGAGTCAAGGAGATGTTTGGAAGACAAATCAATCAACGGAAGATCCCATGATTTCTGAGAACATTTATTGTCAGGTTTCAATGTTTTCGAAGTCGAGCACCACATAGATTCGCATTCAGTATACAAAGGATCAGAAATAACAGAAAAGGAATCTGGTAGAATCTGTTTGACAAAATGTTTAATGCTGTTGAAAGACGAAAGGAAAGCTGGCAAAGTGAGTGAAGATGCCCTTCGGATTCCCAACCCACCTTTATTCACAGGAAGTGATGCTTGTACCCATGATGATTCGCTGAAATTATTATTGTATTACTCGCACCTAATCTAAATTGAGGAAATTTCCGGGAGAGTTACTCAGAATGCGGATCAGAGCTGATGCTTCGCTGGAAAGCAATTATGAAGGGAAAGAAATTATGAAAATCGAGGCTCCAATTAACTAAGACCAGTTAATTATCGCCCTAATCGGACGGCTGCTCTGACCCTATTTTTTTATTGCAAGGAAAAATAGATAATCCAAAGGGAGCAACTGATTAAAAGTACAAATCTTTGAGATTGATAGTACGTATTAATAAGATGAGCGAGTAGAAGGTTTCATTTTATCTACGAACTATGTTTGAGATATTAGGATGAGACCATGATACTTGACAAATAAACGCATGTTTTTTCCACGTTTTGTTAAGCTCAGCCATCTGGAAACATCTATTCAACCATGCAGACTTTGAATGGGAATCAATCACTAGTTTTATATTACATAAAACACTATTATACAGGGTGCCCCGAAAGTACATGAACAGATTTCAACCATATATACAGATTTTAATAACAAAAATAGTTGAAAAAGGTTATATAAACACAGTGCGTTGCCAGAGGTGGTACAATCGCGACTGAAAAGTACGGTGGTACTACATTATTGTGAAATGTGGCCCATATGTGGTACATTTGAAAGTAATTGGTTGACAGAATGAAGTATAAATTCTATCAAAGATTGTATTTGTCAATAATAATATTGACAGACAACATACACTTGTCCACATTGCCATTAACACAAAACTTTTGAACACAGAGTTTATGTTATGTTCTGTGCCCATTTATCTGTGTTCTAGTGATGAATGACATTTGTCAGCTGTCACTGCTGTCAGAATTGATAGTCTGTGTTTTAGTTCTGTGAAAAGAATAGATCCTGTAGTTCTGACAAAGAAGAGTGCTTTTAGACGTTCTGATGTTCTTGAAAAATATGGAAAAAATATGTTTGAATGCAAAATGAGATAATCATAAAAAGTTTTAAAATTATTACTTTCAATTTTTAATGTGTCTCCGAAATGATAAACCAAATATGATTTTCATATTCTTAAATATTCCTCCACCAACGTCACAGGATCAGGATAGAGAAAACCCAGAGTTTAATGACGCTGATTTGGACTAGGATAATGAGGAAAATGAAATTCCTGAGGAAAGTCCAAACAAACAAAAAATTTCACTCATAAATTCAAAGATCAGTGGTTGAATGATTATCCTTGGGTCATGAAGTGTGATAAAAGAGGTGTTCCTTTTTGTAAGGCATGTAGAGTCACAATAAGTGGGAGCTCTACCCATTTGAGGCGACATTCACAGTTAGAGAAACATATCAATCATATGAAAAAAAGTAGGTATACACAGAAACTTGACTCATTTATTTTGTCCAAGATCCAAAAAAAATTCAGCACAATGAAAATGTTTTTGCAGCTGAACTCAAACTGTCCATGTTTTTGCATGAACATAACTTACCTTTTCTTTTAATGGACCATCTACCAAAATTGATATATTCAGTGTGCCCTGAGTAATCCATAGCTAAGGATATTGAGTGTGGAAGAACAAAAGTTACTGCCCTAACTGATGAATGTTTGGCTACAGAAAGCTTGACTACTTTATTGAATAATCTGAGAGCTTGTGGAGGATTCTAAATTCTACTCTCCTTATCCTAATCCTTAGCTGTTGTTATTAGGTTTTATCATCAAAAAGTGAAAGATCATTTTCTAGGACTCCTGGAAGTAGAAAGTGCTGATTCACAATCACTTTTCAATAGTATTTGTGATTCACTTAATAAACATGATATACCCATATACGTATTAATAATCAATATGGATAATCTCTATCTGTTTCCATAGCGAAACATGAAGCCGATTTTTGAAGACAAATGACTATCCATAAGGAAAAGTGAGATACGATCAGACACATACTGCTTTGATTGAAAGGCTAGTAAACGTCATTGTCCACCGAAACACATGTCTTTGATGACTACTATAATAGCGCATGGCGCATGCGTATCATGCCACCAAATCCTTATGGATATTCATTTGTTTCATATTTTTGGCTTCATCCTGGCACCCGTTATGATCCGTATTGTTTATTAATACGTATATGGATATACCTATCAACAATAATAATATGCTAGGTTTTGCGGGAGATAATGCCTCTGTCATATAATGGGAGTGAAAAGTGGCATACAAGCAAAATTGAAAGAAGTGAACAAAGATTTGATGATGTTAGGGTGCATATGCCATTCTCTGCATCTTGTTCTTCTGCTGCAGCATTACAACTCCCCAAGAGCATAGAGGAGTTTGTCAGAAATGTTTACAATCATTTCTCAAATGCACCAAAGCGTGTCAAAGAATTTGAGAAATTTCAAAAATTTGTGAATATGAAACCTCACAAAATGCTGAGGCCTTGCCAGACTAGGTGGTTGTCTCTACAGGTAGGTTTATATATTCATCAATAGGTATATAATATAGATAGATACAAATTGAATGTGTTTCATTTGTTTGGAACTGTCTTTCAGATTCTCTATAGGTAAACCTAAAGAAATAGTTTGAATAAATAATTTTCCAGGGCCAACCTAAAATACCAGAGACTGCTTTCGACAAAGATAGCGACCAGTATTCCAGGATAAATCCAGGGTTTGTAATTTTTTCATCTTGGCTTCTGATCGAGGTCTGATCGATAGTATTATTGACCCCTAGTTTACTATTGTAGATACCGAGGTGAGCTATAATCATTTCCTGTGCCTGTTTCTACTGTTGTTGCCCTGGAATCCTTACAGATACAGTTCGTATAGGAGCAGGTCAAGTAAATCACCTTGATCAAAATCTTGGCGCCCAAGATACCCGAAACGAGTACCAGAGTAGTCCCAACAGCGCCAAAGTGAGGGTCCATGAATAAAGTACCAACGATTCCATACCCTGACAACCTCACAACTTTTTCAAGAAAAAGATACTATTTTTATTAAAATACAGAGTTTTGAAATCGATCTATCTAAAAAATGGCTAGTGCTATCGAAACTAATCAGGAATACTATTTTTCAGTAAAACATTTGATCTCTCCATATTTCGGTAGCGATTTTAGGTATAGTTGATCCAAAGTCAGTCGGAGTACCTATGGAAAAAGCATATTGGCACCCAATGGGGTTTCGCTTCCTTTGAAGTTCATTCGAATTTCGAACACTTGGCAGACCTGAATTCAACATTTTTTCCACAGGGATATTTCATTCACATTCCCCGTTAAACCCGGTTAGAGTGTTCAGGTGATGGGAGACATACTACGTCATGATGACGTCAACATCAACTATTTTTGAATTCCTATTTCTTTTATTTTACCCACTTCCACAGTTTAGCTGTGTATCTTACTTCGACATCCCGTGCCCTACTGCAGCAATGGAAGCTATATGCTTGACTTAATACCCTTGCATATTTTTATCAAGAGGACTGCAGCTCTCAGTGCATACAGACTGAACTCCACTGAATTGGCCAGACCAGGTGATGTCACTGGTCACATGGTCATTCTACGAGAAGTACAAATGGAATCTGCAACCAAACCATCGGAGATAATGCCAGCCAGGCTTAGTTTCGATCATATCTTTGGAGTGGTTATAAAAAGCCGCCCTAGGTACGGTTCCGCTGAGCCTCAGCTGGACAGAGGGTCCCTTGTTTGGTGCACCGATGGTTCGAAAATGGAAGAAGGGGTAGGCGCGGGTGTATATGGACCCGCATGTAGGCTATTTGAAGCCTTAGGTCACTCCCCCACTATCTTCCAAGCTGAAATACATGCCATCAACCTTTGCGCCCAAAGGTGCCTGAGCAAAGGTCTGAGGGGTGCCAGCATATATATCTACTCAGACAGCCAAGCCGCACTAGAAGCCCTAAAATCATTTGCTATCACATAAAAGATTACATGGGACTGCTTTGAAACACTCATGCAACTGGGAAAGGACAACAAAGTCACACTTATGTGGGTTCCAGGGCATGGAGGAATCAAAGGAAATGAGGCAGCTGATCGCCTTGCAAAAAAGGTGCAGCATCTGCACTTTTTGGTCCTGAGCCTTTTTGTGGGATAAGCAAATGCCACCTAAAGTGAGAACTCAGGAAATGGGAAGGAATTGAAAAGTCCTCCTACTGGAGAGCAACTCCAGGTCAACGACAAGCGAAAAGGTTCGTCAACCATTCGCAGAACCGAGCCAAAGAGCTACTCAGCCTCAGCAAACCAGAGCTAAAGCTTATCACAGGCTTTCTCACAGGACACGGCCCTCTGAGGTACCACCTCAAAAAGATGGGCCTGGCGGAGACTGACACTTGCTGCTTTTGTAACAATGCGACCGAAACCGCGGAATACATACTTTGCTCATGTGAAGTATTAGTCCGCCAAAGGCTGAACCACCTAGAACAGGTCTATCTCACCCCTGCTGAAGTGGAAAATTCAACCGTCAGGAAAATCGTAGGCTTCATCAGAAGTCTAGGGTTAGAGGACCGAAACTAGATAGGGGTAATCACAATAGATCTTCTAGGTCGCAGTGATCGAGAGGTCTCCCAGCCTATACGACCATCTACAATCTACTTCGACATCCACTCAATTCATTTTCAATTCGAATGTTCCCATCATATCCTCCATTTTTCACATCCATAATTTGTAAACAAATAATCAAGTTTACCTTTAACCATCACCTTTACCAACTATGGAGTTGGTGAAACCAAGGGCAGGCAGGGAAGATGTACCCAAACGGAAATTATGTTTACGGTTAAACACAATGAAATGGGATCAGCTTCAACCATGACGGGTAATGTGTATGAAATATTCCTATG